ACAAAAGTCACTTTGATCATCTCTCTGTTGTTTTTCTCTCCTGTCCTTATAATATTCAAGTCTTGCTCTGGCCTGTCTTCACAGTGTAAATTATAGGCATATTAAAGAGAAAAGCGATCGATGGACTGATGTTACAGGAGGCCAGAACTAACAAATAATACACGAGTCCCACCTGTACGGTCTAGAGGCATCCAGAAAAACAAAAATACCCCCAATGAAACCTGTTAGACTCAAGATGTCGCAGATTCCAGTTTCCACAAACGCTGGCATCTTTAATTGCTCTATTGAGTCCTGCTAGAGTTCCCCTGTTTTCTGGTTGCAGCCGTTGCAGACCCTCACGGGGTGGTCCCATCCACGGGATGGCACGGGGCGCCGCTCCTGGGAGCAGTCATCGCACACGCCCTGCCCACAGGCGCGACAGTGGTGGATGGAGAGACGTGGTGAGAACTCCCTTTGGCACTCGCAACAAGAGTGGATGTCCTGATCTGGCACCCAGTAGGCCGGCCGAGCTGCGTCCTTCACTAGGCCTGGAAACAAATTTTTATTTCTCTCACTCTTTTTTTTTTTTTTTTTAAACGTTGTTTCTCTTGCTCGCTATATTATTTTTTAGATCCTATGCTTACCAAGAGGTATATCGATGGCACCAACTACAGCCCCCAAAGTGTTCTGGACAGCCTCTCCAACCTTCCTCGCTATCAGGGTGCCTCCCTCCTCCTCCAACGCAGCGTCCAGCAACTCTACAACATGCACACATCAAATCATATCATGTTCTGAACATTAAAACAGCCTGAACCAGCCCGGCAAACAATACCGCACTCTTAAACTCCCACAGAGAGACTCATTTGTGTACCAGTTGGAATTCCTCTGTTGTGGAAACACGCATCACAGACCCTAACAGGCGCAAGACCCCAGCCCCTCTCAGGGACCGGCCGGGTTTTGGAGGAGCAGGCGTCACAGAAGCCCTCTCCGCAGGCACGGCAGTGGTGCTTGGTGTCGTTGGGCTGGAACTCCTCCCCACATTTATGACATTTCTATGGCACAATAATAAGTAATGCGATTTATCGGCATAACAGTAACATAGCAGGAACACTGCAGCATGTCAAATGTCAACCTACATTGTCTCGATGGGCTATCACCAAGTAAATGTTTTACTTACACAAGTGATGTTTCCTTCACAACTACACATTCTGGCCCTGTGATTCCTTATATATAGTTAGTTAAGTATTGGTTGCATACCAGGATGAGGGAATTGGATTTCCAGTAGGCAGGAGCAATCTGGTCAGTGAGCCAGGAAGTGACCGCTTTGGCAGGCTTGACGCTGAGTTCAGACACAGACTGAGAAATGTATTTGACTCCGTCCAACAACCTCTGAGCAGCGTTGTTGTTGTCTTTCAAAAAGCCATCCGACTGCAAAGAACAGTGTAAAAACACATAATTACAGTACGCCATAGAAGTTGTGTTTATACAAGCGTCCCTCACAATTATCACTAAATACTGACAACAGTGCTGACAGAAATACAATGCCTGCCTTACCAGCTGGCGTTTGCACTGCTATATTCAGACTTGTGACTAATTATGCTTAGATCAACATGTTCCAGGAGAACACGCGGCGTTACTTTTCTGGATATTTACATACAGTATAAGCCACTCGCCTCATAGTGGCCAAATTCATATGACTCAAAACAAACAAAAACTGAGCTTTTAGATTTCAATGGTTTAAGTGAATTCACTGTGGCCTTACCCCAGGCCAGATGTGCTGGATTTCTGTTCTGACCACTGTTTCCACTGGGTCCTGGTTTCCATACCAGTACTGCCTGCTTCTGTAGATCACTGAACAGTTGGGACACTCAATGACATACCTGTAAAAAGACAAAACCATCTCAGTTTCAGCACAGGGAGGAAAGGTTTCAGAGGTGCCACACACTTTTTATATCAACTGTGCTCAATTTTTCATAAACTTTAAAGGGACATATGAAGATATTTATGAAAAATCATTCTATACTCGCAGGACTCACCCTGACCAAGCGTAGATGGCCAAGCCAAACCACGGCGAGTCAGACGAGGCCGTCGTTTTGGGAACCACTATGACTTCCTTTCCCCTTTCGTAGCAGGCCTGAGAAGTTCAGCACAGTTGCTCAGAACCTTGTCAAGCAGGTATACTTCAAATGTGGCGTAGATGTATGTTTGTACTTGCCTTGCATGTGTAGATGCGGTTGTCGTACTGTGCAGAGTACCGGCAGCGATGTTTGGCTTCATGGTCGAGACCTTCCTTTAGGTGATTCATGCTCCTCTTACAGCCTGACCTGAAAGTTGGTGCCCAGCAAGTCAGCAAGTTTTATAAATAAGTAAAAGTAAAAGATACTGGCAGTGTTGATGCCAGTATGATGCCAAGTATTTTTGATATTTTTTTTAGCAAAGCAGAGACACGTACCCACAACTGAGGCAGATGCTGGAGCAGGTAAAGTATTCATCTGGAAAGAAGGAGTTACTGGTCATATGTTCATCTGGAATCTCCCCACTGAAGCGCTCACTCAGGGCCTGAAAGAAGGCCCCAGGTGGAGATGGGAAAGGTATAAACACATTTCCATTGGCTATGCCAAAACATACTTAAATGTAAGCACTGCTACCTGCAGGGCCTTGAAGATGACACTGGCAGATCGTGGCGAGCGTGTCGTATTGTTGTCCAGCTGCTGCTCCAGGCTGCGGAGCAAACCACTGAAGTCCGTGGGAGGGTTGTAGGTTCGAGTCCCACGGTACTGGATGGAGCTGAATGCTTCCGGAAATAAGCCCAGCTTCCTGAAACGCTCCTGGATAAGGCGCTCAGCAGATTCTGATGGCGTGTCTGAATTTGGGGTACACATACAGATGGAGACAAAGGAATGAGGCGGTGGTTTGTGTGCTTATTTTTGAAAAACACTGAGATGAGACAAACTTCTTTGATGTACCTGATCCTAGTAGATTGGTGTGGACAGTCTCGTGGAAGATGATCACCGCGGGGCCCAGGGTGGACAACGGTACATCAAGACCACAGCGATTGGTAGTTGCCTTTAATTCTCTAGTGAAATGTTTCAGGTAGGCATCTGATGCATCACCAAGGAACTTGAAGAGATCGTCATGGAGACGGTCAGCGTGTGTCCGGTAGATTACCACATCAGAGATAGCCAGGACCTTGAGGAGCAGCCGAGTTCTCTGACCCTGATTAGCCCCTGATAAGTTTAAAAAAAGAATCATGAATGCCTGCCTGCTTCTACCCCCGTTTGTTTCATAATATTAAGTAAATTAATAATTTCATACCAGCTCCAAGCAGTCCCTCTGTATCGATGACTACAACCCGATGCAGAGGGTCCATAGCTGCCCAAACACCCACAGTGCAGGACTCCTGAGTGGGAGACGTCTTGAACACTTCTCTCCCAAGAAAGAACGTATGGTTCAGGGTGTAGGATTTTCCCTCACCAGTGTTCCCAAAAATGGAGACCACCTTGAGGAGCTCATCTGGACTACAACCCAGTCTGCTGACAAAGTCCTCCTCGTCCTTCACCTGAGAATGCAGACAAGATCAGCTCAATGGTTGTAACGCATCATTAATAAAACACCATCAAACGCCGAGTACCTCAACAAGTGCTTACCTGCATTTCCTCCTTCTCATCCACTAGCAGGAAGCTGCGCACCTTCTCCAGTTTGGATTTGAGGATTTCCATTTCACTCTCCCCATCACTGACACTGTTCTCTTGAGGAGCTTTGGCAGGTGGGTAAGATACCAGAGGGTGCTTCCTCTTGTTGACTCCCCCATGGGTGCGTTTTTGGCAATCCAAACACAGGTTGATCTTACAGCCCTGGCAGCGGACCACCGCTCTGAGTCTCCCAGAGCAGCTGCCATCCCCTTTGCAGGAGTCACAGAAAGGAACGTGGCCCGAGGCGACCCGAACCCGGTCGTGATTCCTCATGCGCTCCTGCCGATGTAGCTCCAGTTCACAGCGGGCACACTGCAAGCTGCCACACTCATCGCATTCGAACACAGCCTCGTCCGAGCCCCCACAGGCATAGCTCTCCTGACAGACCAGGATGGTGCTCATTCCTTTGTTTACAGCTGGACCTTGACCACTCATCTCAAACCTGTGAGGTCAGGAATCCCCTGGTATGAAAACAAGTATAAAGGATTACTGTGGGTAATTGGGACGGCACAAGGTTATGGCACCGTTTTGTGAATCTATATAACCAGATGTCAGATAACCTGTTTTGTTGAAATACTGAAATAAACCAAAAACAAATTCACTCATGAGCAGTACTGTCAACAAAACGATAGCAATCCATGCCCCTTTTCTCTCTCCTTACTCTTTAATGGGGATATTCAGTTTATTAAAACAGCAAAATTAAACACACAAAACTCGGACTAGTTTGTTTACCTTTGTTTACAACAGCTCTGTAGCTAACAATAGCTGGCCGGTATCTGTTTTCTTGTTCTGGTAACGCTAACTTTCTACATGAGAGTATCCCACACTGTTCTATACATTAAAAATGCCTAAAAACAGGCATTAAAACTCAGTAGTAAAGATTCATTAGCTAACAGCATTCACACAAAGAGACACTCCTGAAACAAACAACCTTCTTTTGAGTCGACTGACCTAACAGTTGCTACCAGTCCGACGGCTGTCTCGTTAAATAACCTGCTGAATCGACACAGTCTAAAAGTGGACACGTACACTACCTAACACCATACCGCCGAATGCCACGGAGAGCTGACGCTGGCGGGGGGGCAAAGTTAGCAAGCTGTTATTGTGTCAGACCCCTGTAGATGTTGCTGCTTTTACATCAGCTGATCGGCTTGTTTTTATCCAGAGGTCAAAAGTCACGGAAACACAAAGCATTTTGGGAAACGAAGGCCTTGCAAGTGACATGGAAAAGCGCTTGCTAAAGACGAGCTGTTTGTAACCTGTTTATGGCACATACACCAACGTATACCCCGCATTTGACTTTTACAGACTGTTTGACGAAAGCTGTGGACCAGCTTGAGTTATCGACGGAGATATCGACGAAAAATCAATCGTTGCCCACAATGCTTTGCTTTTTCAAGCGACTATAGGGTCTGTTTTTATTCTACACCAGCGTGGGCCGGAGGCACAAGCTGAGACGGAGACAGAAGCTGAAGCTGACACGTATCTCGTTGATATCAAACGAATAATAATAAATGTTACACTTACAAGTTGTTCTATGCATTAAAGTACATTTAGTTGTTTTATGAACTAGTTTTTTCGCGGTCTTTTGCTTTTGTGTATGCGAGAGCCCCGCACCCTTTCTGGACACCCCGGTGTCAAAACAGTGCAGCCACATGAGTGGGGATGGATTGTGGCACCACTACAGTTGTAGTTGACTCTTTAATTCAGCTCTTTAGCTATTTTTCCCTTTTAATTTATTTAAAGCATAGTACTTCAAGCAGTTTTCTCTTTTCGTCATCATTATAAATTTATCACCGCCTGTCTTAATGTGCTGCTGCCCCGGTCTATTTCCGAGCTAGCAACAATTAATGCTAGCTCGGTGCTAACTTGACAGGGTAACCGTGTTGACACCATACAAAGGTCATCACTCGTCTTTTATGCTCATTCACCTCGTTTCGCTGTTCAGTCGTCATGGAAGACGAAGCCTTCACTGACATTAGCGGTAAACCAATCTCTCTGGACTGTCAGACTCACTCCAGCTTTTGCAGGGAGTTCATTATCAGCTCCCCAAAAGTGTCCATGGGCAAAGTGATGGCATACACCTGCTCCGTGTGGCTTCTGGCATATGCAGTGTTCTTCTTCACCCAGGTAAGATGATGCTCTGAGCCCCTTCTTGTTTGCGATGATGACGGTCAGGCAGGAGTGTCCATAGACTGATTTGGGTGGCTGTAGCTCAGGTGGCAGAGCAGGTCAGCCACTGATCAGAAGGTCGGTGGTTCGATCCCAGGCTACCTCCTGGCTGCCTGACTTTTCCAATTCAGTGCCGCAGGGGTTGCACACCTCTGAGCAATTTAGAATCACCAATTAACCTAACCCAACTAACTGCATGTTTTTGGACTGTGGGAGGAAGTCTGGGTACCCGGAGAGAACCCACGCTGATATGGGGAGAACATTCATACTCCATACAGTAAGGCCCCCTCCAGATGGGGGGTGGTGGTACCCTCTTGCTGTAAGAGAACAGTGGTAACCACCACCACCATTAGGTAGATATATATCAGATAAAGGATGTTGAATATGGAGCTCGCAGGCAGGAGGAAATGAGGAAGGCCATAGAGAAGATTAATGGATTTACATGAAGAGGATTGGTGTGACATAGGCGGGATAGGGTTTGATAGAGACAGATGATCTGCTATGGTGACCCCTAAACGGAGCAGCAAAAAGAAGGCAGAATACATTTCTTTCTTTCTTTCTTTCTTTCTTTCTTTCTTTCTTAAAGATACTTGTTGTAATCAGAATTACAAAATACTGGCCCACCACAAGGGGCCAGTATTTTACAAGAAAGTCTTAATGTAGTCGCCCTAATTTTGCAGCATTTTTTTAATGGCTCTGGGATAAATATATATACACTTTGAGACTTTTCCAGTGATGAAAAGATAGTTAGATGTTTACTTTTGTTTTGTCTCACATCATTTCTGTTTTTTCCAACTGAGCGTGGTTTCTTTCCGGAAGTGTGTGATAAAAGTCACTTTTCAGGTGCATCGGCCATTGTTTGCTGATCCCTTCACTAGGATATCTCTCTATCAGCATTTCCTCTTCCTCTTCTGTTGGACTCAGAATAGACTGGATGCCACACCATTAGTATCCTGCAAATTGGCATCGCGCAGAAGTGCGCTCAAAGTTTTGTTTAGCTCTCCAACTCAGTATGTAGATGTTCTGTATATAATGTCATTCTGTTGCTAGCATTAGGTACTTTTGAATGGTTGTATATTATTTTAACTTACAATGATTATTTTAAATTGAATACTTTTCCTCTCTTGCAGAACACTGCCGTTCTGTCTGGCGCTATTCTTGTCACCCTTATTGGCATGATGCTTCACATCCACTTTGTGAAGGTAGACCACGAGTCCCTTCTCGTCATTGGCTCCTTAGGCATCCAGGTGTCCTCCAGCTATGCCTCGGGCCGCGAGATAACCACTTTCATTGAGATGAGCAAGATCAAGGATATCGTCATCAATGAAGCTATTTACATGGTGCGTTGGTGAACCTGTGCCTCTGTACTTGTGTGACATGTTGACATTTTCTCATGTAGTTATTCTACAGTTTGCCACGAAAGATTGGATTAACGTCTAATGCTTTTATTTCAGCATCAGATCATCTACTACCTCTGTGTACTGTTGAAGGACCCCTCAGAGCCCGATGCAGTGTCAAGTGTTGTGCCATTGTTTCAGGTGAGGATGAACATATCTCAAGAGCCTGTTTAGTGACTTGATTACCTGCAGGGCTGTTGATGTGGTGTCATTCATAGGAACCTGTTTTTAATTAACTCTATTTTTTTCCCTTTAGAGTTCAAAGCCAAGGCTGAACTGCTTGGTGAAAGTCTACAAAAGCTGTCAGGAGATTCTTTCAAAGTGCCAATGAAGCACATGTCATACAGGAACACCTGAGGTCATTCACCATGTTTTTCTTTTAGCCTCTTCCTTGTTTGTGTTGA